TAGGGTTTAGGGTTTAGAGTGCTTTGGGGGTTTTAAGCATAAGAGAGCGGGGTCTTGGGGCCGCGCGGGATTCGAGTTTCAGACAGTCTTATGCGTGACTTAATAAATACGTGTATAAGCAAAAGGTTGCTGGCCAATTTCCAAACTCTCGGGCGGATTATGGTTTACTTCTTCACCGACCATCAAGGAAGAAGCCTATTGAACCCGAAACCCTGAACCTAGGCCTACTACCTAAGCCCCAAAAGTATNNCCATAATGATAGCCATAAAGGCCATCAATTTACGTACTTCTGGGTCCCAGGTAGTAGCTTTCTAGGCCCCTCCTGTGCGCGTGGGAGTTTGTGGCTCAGCAGGTCTAGGGGGAGGCTCAGGATGCGTGAGAATTATTCAGAAGCACCAATACTTTAGGGTTTAGGGTTTAGGGCTTAGGGTTTAGGGCTTAGGGTGGGTGATCGGAAAATGTTTCAGAACATGGTGTACTGAATGCAGGAGGAAGGATGCTTTGAAACGATAAAGCGGGTACTAGACCAATAATGTAGTTGAGGGAAGGAGGATTCATCTGGGGTCTGTCCTAAGCCCTAAACCCTAAACCCTCAATCGATGACTGAGGTATGCAGGCACTGTTGCCACTGCCAGGGGTGATGAAACCCAAGTTTTCTTAAGGTTTGGGGTTCAAGGCCGACCTCAGGATGTACATTCTTGGTTGTTGTCAGTGTTTGGGGCTTGGGGCTTAAGATCCTTTACTCTGATCCAACACCGGACTGTTTTTACTTCGCGTTTGCGCATTGCGGTGTCAGGGGCGTGAGGTTTATTGCTTCAGAGATTTCAGGGGGATAGAAATGAAACTCCCAAATAACTGGGAAACCTATTCTCGTATATCAGGAACACATATGGGCTGGAAGCAGATGATTATTGTAATTAGGTGTTCAGGATTCAATGAGCGGTCGCTTCTTCGATTTGATGTTTCGAAGCTGATGATGATGAGGGCTGTGGCGAGGCGTTCACGCAGTGTCGCGGTTTGAGTGTTCTGGGTTTAGGTAAGTGGCATGTAGGCTGCTGAGTGCGTGGGAGTAGGGCATTACAAAATCGAAGCAACGCGACCCCCCAAGTAAGCCCTGTGCACCCAAGTGGTAAAGCTGCTCAACCAGTATGGAAACAGCTAAGCATAGGTTCCCCCAATGCCCCCGAAAAAGTATCCCGCACAAAATCCCACTCACTTAGCTTTCGTTAGCCCTAGTAATTCCAAAAAGGCTGCTTCAAGCCAAACGACTTCCAAGAGCCTGCTATCTTCGATCAATCATTGGTCCTTGATCAGATCGTTCAGCGCATGCCTCAAGGGCGTGGGGGGTCTGCCTGTCTCAATTGCAAGGGTTTAGTCCACCTCGCCCTAAACCCTGAACCAGTAGTGTTGGAGTATAGTGCATTAGGTTTTCGGGGCTGAGGATCTAGAAGGGTTTCTCCAACTTCTGGGGGGGCCTGCAGTAAGGCTATGTGAGCTACTGTCAGTATTAGGCTCATTAAGGAACTCTTAACAGTGGACACAGGGGTCCCTCTTGTAGTGTAGTATCGTCCCTAAAAAAGGAACCCATGCCAATTGATAGCCAGAGAAATATTGACCTCGGGCATATAGGAGCCTTTCTATATTGAGAAATACCCAAATATTGCCACTTTGCTGTCGGACCGTCCTCCGACCACGTCTCAAAGCAGGGAGACCCTTAAATTTTAAAATCAAAAACGGCTTGAAGTTCTAAGTTCTAAGGGTCACACATTCGATGTACGCGTCCCCCTTTGCAGCATGTAATTGTGACGACCTTGTTTTTCCAGTTTGCTCGGCGGGGGCCCTCATGAACGCTTTGTACAGGTAGGCATGGTTTGATGACAGTCCCAACCCTACCCAAACCCTCGTATGTAGTTCCTTTTTAGGTGCAATATTCTAATCCTTCACCAAGAAAACATAACAGGCCCAAAAAACAGCTACATAGCAGCCCTTGAGTACATTTCAAGCCAAAGGCGGAAACCCTACATCCCCATCCCTCAAGTGAATCCCAGACCCCAAAGCCCAGATCCCAAATCTAAACATTACCCCGAAACTAACATGTAGATGCATTCGAGCTGTAGTCGAAGCTCCTTACAGGGGGTTATGTGGTGGATCATATACAGGAGTATCACGAGGGTTATTAATGGGGATATTAGGAGTTTACACTCTAGCTCATGTACCGGGGGCCCCTCTTATATGGACAGTAGCGTTTTTAGTTCCCGTTGTGGCTGCCGTGCTGTTTGTTTTTGGGGAGGCCATTTGGAGGTTCAGGGATGACTGAAGACGTATTCCAAATATGACATTGTTTAGGGACTTAGCGATCTCATTTGTGGCCTACAAGTAAAACCCGGAGCCCCAAACCCTAAACCCTGGACTCTAAACCCCTTCAGGTGCGGTACTATTGAGCTGGTTCGGATCATGCATGACGGCTACCCAAACCGGTGCCCTTTCGATGAAATTCTGGGTCGATTCAGTCGCTGCGATGCAGTTGGCCCCAGAGCTTAGGACCAAACCCTAAACCCTAATTATTTTGCAGGGGCTTCCCCCTTTGGGGGTTAATTTGGAGGAACGGATGATTTAATTTTGTGTTTGACGAGCGAGGTCTTGTGCATGGCTTTTCAACATAGCGCGTGAGTCCGCATATCAGGTGCCTTGCATAGGGTTTAGGTTTTGGCTTTGAGATAATTATGTGGAGCTTGCTGTGACCTTGACAGGCACATGGTTTGGCTTCCCCTGTGCCTTGTGGAGGATGCAGTACATCTTGCACCGCGCAGGATTCGCACATAGTTTTCTCAGGTATAGTATATGTAGAGCATACAAGGTGGTGCAGGATTTCCTCCATACACAAAAAGATGGATAGTGAACACCTTGCAGGACCCTAGAACCCTAAAGCTCGGAATATATGGTAGTTTCCCAAAATAAGGGGACCCCAATATAGACCCCAAAATACTATAGTCCTTATTATTGGGACCCCCAAAAAGGGTACCCCTAATTTTGGGAACTTCCATATGGCATTCCAGTATGCTGAGGTCATGCGGTCATGCAGTTTTCATTTTCAAGCGTAGAAATTGGGGATGCAGTGCCGGTCGCAGGTCATCCCAGCTATTCCGCTTTGCTTTTTGTGAAAGACCGCAAGAATTCTTCGTGGTGATACTGGCAGGTCTATCCTAATCCTTGGAACCCTAAACCCTTAAACCCTAAAACACGAAACCTGAGCCCTGAAACCTAAACCCTATTCCTTGACAGCCCTCCAGTCTGAACTCTACAACTCTACGCCCGGAACCATATACTTTGACTGTGTAACGTAGGGTCCCCTTGGCTTGCCTGGTTTAGGTTGCGGGTTTTAGGGTTCAGGGTTTAGGCAGAAGATATGTAGGGGATGGAGAATCAAATGGGACAGAAAGTATGGACAATGCAATGGAAACTGGGCTTTCAAAGGGGGATTAGAGGAATAATTGCCAATATTGTGGTCCTAGATGCCTTACATGTTTATGGTGCAAGATACCTCGAATTGACTTCAACATGATACAGATGTTTCTTCAGCCCCCTGCAATCTATCTCCCTGATTATCTCCGTCCCCATCGCTCCAAACCCTAAACCCTGAACGCACCCAGACCTCCTTGTCTCAGGAAGCCTTTTACCAGAGAGTTTTCAGCGCTATGGCATGCGAACGTTCATCGAAGCACTGATGTTGGCCTACGGCATTCCCCATGAGGAGCTGTTTTGGGTTTAGGAGGGGTTCCCGGGTTTAAAGCTATCGATTCGCCACCCAGACACCAGGACTTCCTTCGCTTAGTAAGTACCCCTTGTATCCTAAACCCACCCTAAACCCTAAACCCAAACTTCCTAACTCAGATTGCTGGGGGTTTGGGGCTGCTCTCTGATAACTACCCAAGGGCTCCCAACTACGCAGGAGAGTCTGGGTAGCCTGTACAAACGCAGCGTTCCATGTTCCCGTAGATTCTTCGAGGATGTTTGAGACCCGGCCAGTCCGTTCCAGTAACGTGCTTTGGGTCCTTGGGTCCTTCCTTGTTTTGGCAGGAGCCACCATTAAAGTCGAGGTATGGGGAGTTAGAGAAGTTACTTCAGGAATGTCCCTTTGCGAGCGTTTGGGCAAGGATTTGCTAGACCATGTACTCCATTCTCTCATTCCGGCATGCAAAAAGCAGCATGACCAACGCCCCGAAGAAGTTCTCACATTATGTGGAATTCCCCAAGCTCAAAACCCTGGCCTCTTTTGGCTCTATACCAAAGCATCTCATACCCTGAACCCCATCTTCTAATTTGAGTGGGGCTGTGGGTTAAGGTCTTTGGGCATAGATGCCAGCAAGACTTCCAGAGCGACATTGCGCTGAAGCCTATACGCGCGCGTCCCAGCACTTAGTGTGCTGTCATATTACGGATCCTTGGGCACAAGTTTCCCACATGTATGTTGTATTCTTAGAAGGGAGTCTATGGTCCGCAGCGCAGAGTGAGATGATGACCCCTTTCAGGGATACATTCTTTAAGCAGAACATCATCTTGCTTGGTTCGACTACCTGAAAACCGGGTATTCGCTACACTTAGACTCCAAAATCCCAGAACCCAAAACGCCCAAACCCTACACCCTACACGCCAAATCCTTAAGGATTCTGTTGGGGCAACCTCAGGCCAAGCCTTGCTATCAAGCTTCCCAGCCTCACGCTCTGCAACCAATCTGTGACCCAAGCCCTTACGTGAAGAGTTTAGGGGTTTAAGATTTAAGGTTCAGGGACCCTAGTACAGTTCATGTTGCACTTGACAACGCCAAACTGTTGTATATTGTTGCGCATTTTTCTTTCCATTAATTTCGGTGATCGATATAGCCCAAAGCAGGTAACATTTACAGACTTTCGGTCCCAGAGTTGGTATTACTTATAGGTTTGGATCCCCAGGGTTACCTTGAGCGTCCAGGGGTCCAAATATGATGACTGCGGGTACCCAGGACGATTCATGTAAGGCATGTGGGTGCCTTGAAACATAATCCTTGAGTCCATGTACCCTGAAGGTAACTCTCGGAACCCGAAGGCTATGCTACCCCATGTGAAGTTCCTCTCAGCTTGGACCACAAGGCCCTGATCACCATGTATTTTGATGCACCTTAGGCACTACATAATGCATATAAGATAGCTGGGCTACAGCATCAAATTATATACGTAACACGTACCTATTTGGGGCCCTAGAGTCAGTAACTATTGCTTACGACTTGGATCCGTAGGGTCAAGTAAGGATGACGGGACCCCCCCCCCGTGCCCTGGTGCTACCATCGTCGCACGTTAATTATAGGGCTTTTATTGTAAGAAACCCTAAGCTCCAAACTCTAAACCCGAGACCCTAAACCTTAAACCCCAATTCAACTCCCCTTGTTACTATTGAATGGCCATGTGTGGGCAGGGTGTGGGCAGGACTGGGCCCTCGGCGTCTCCAGGCTTTTCCTAAAGGCCAGACGGGGCACCCATGTGTTATGGGGTTTAGGGCCTCTGGGTTTAGGGCTTAGGTTTAGTATTCAGGGCTTACTTAAAAGTGCATACTGCCCTGACATATTAACCAGGGTTTAGGGTTTAGGGTTTAGGGTTTAGGGCACATGTATGATCCTCATTTATTTGTTTTCGTATAAGCCCTTAACCCCTTGCATGTGTATGCTGGCTTCGAAGAAGGACACCTTAAAACGCCATGTGTTCCCAAACCCCCGCTCCTTACATAGTAGGGAATGAGAAATGGTAGTTTCCCAAAATAGGGGGACCCCAATGTAGACCCCAAAATACTATAATCCTTATTATAGGGACCCCCAAAAGGGCACCCCTAATTTTAGGAAACCCCCAAATAGCCAAGTGTATTTTTTTCCGCTTTTGCTAGGCTGGCAGATCTCCTTCAGGGTTGCCTATGAGTATTCAGCTCAACCATAAACCCTAAAGCACTGAACCCTCAAGCTAAAATCAAACACCTCTAGCCCCCTAGGCCCCTAAACACTACCTAAACCCCCAAAAGTATGTAAAGCAACAGCCCTAAACCCATAATAATAGCTATAAAGGCCATTATTTTACATACTTTCGGGTTTAGGTAAACCTAATTGCTGCAAACCTAGACGGCTATGACTCTGAACTGCTTTTCTGGGTGCCTGGCTTGGCTTCACAAAGTTCCCAAAAGACTAAACTCACTGGCGGTTAGTAGGGAATAGGGATATATATATACATATATATCATATAGGGACTATGTAAGAGTAATTATATTCCCTTCTTCCCTGGTAACCACCAGTAAGTAAGCCCTTGGACTGCTGGCGCAGGCTGGACGTCTAAAGGCGCTGGAAGACTTGCGATCTGAAGGCTAGAGATTTGAGCCCCATTGATGGTTAGGTTAAGATCCAGGGTTTAGGGCTTTGGACCTGGATTTGGGCCTCGGGATTTTTGGGTTGGGGTGTGTCTTCAAGAAGTGGGCTGAGGTTTTCGGTGGAACTCCACTGAAAGAGTCGAGATGTAACCGTCAGGACTAAGACTTCGGGGTTCAGCGCTTGTTGCGCTGTAGCCGTAGCCAGGAGAGGTTTCGATATGGTTGGCGTGATAGATCCTGACCCTAAGTACCTTATACCTTGTGGCAATATGATAACGTGGCACATTGAGTCCCCAACCCTAGGCCCTAAACCCTTAACCGCAGTATTAAATGCATTTTCTAGGATTGCTTTGGCCTGGAATGATCTGAGTCGGGACGATGCTGGCACTGAGGTAGGAGGAACTTTTGATTTACACCCTAAACCCTAACAGATTCGGACATCCTGTGGCGCAACATTTCTTCCATCACCGTAACTAGGGTCTGGGTTCCATGTGTCGGGTAAACACTGGTGAACATCAAAAGAAAGTTCTATTCTAGAATCAACCCCTACCCGAGCAACCAAGCGCCTGGAAACGAATTGGGTGCCCTAAAACAACCAATGGTCCAATGGTTGTAGATTGTATTTTCACATGAGGGTTGGCTGTTTTGGGAACAACTGCTCGTCTCTGGATGTTTTGGGTTTCCCAACCCTCAAGCCCTAAACACCAAAACCCAAGCCTTCAATCCTAACCCAACTACTTCGTAGAACATGTTTTTAGTGCTTTTCTCTAAGGGTCCAAGGACCCAAATAAAAGGGGCCCAAATACTATTTATATTACAGTAATTATTTGGGCCCTAAAACCCTGTTATTTGGGTCCTTGGACCCTTAGGGTTTACTGTGGTCACAGGTGCTGTTCCCGACCCTGAAGTGCTGAAGGAGATCGTGCAAGGCATCATACGCAAGAGGCACCTTTTGGGCGCAATTGGAGGTTCGTGGACTTAGTAATTACCTGGGCCCCCAAAAAGTATGCAAAACAATGGCCTTTATGGCTAGTATAATGGGTTTAGGGCTATTATTTCTACATACTTTTGGGGTTTAGGTATCCATAACTCAGGACATACCCCTGCTTAAAATTGAGTTAAGCTATGAGAGGCTACAAGTAATGTAAGCCCAGTTATAAGTGGTTATTAAGTCCCATGAACCTCCGAGTACCTAGACCCTCCGATGTAGTGGCATAGTTTCTTATCAACGCCCTAACCAAAATACAGACTAGAACAGGAATTGCATTGAGGGACAGGCAGGGTTTTGGTTATTCTATGATCAAGATGTGTTTCTCAACACGGGCAAGAAGAATCCCGGTGTAGGGAGGACTAGGCTGTCAGAAGCTCTTGCTTGTGGGTCAAGATCCTGCATGACACTCTGCACAAAAATCTTTGGAGTTGTGGTAGTGCTAAGGAATTAATTCTCGGGGCATGTCGGATTTTGCCCATCCACCGTATCATGCGAAAGTGGCCCACTGGCAGTTCACAGCACGGATGAAAACTCTAAACCCTAAACCCTTGTTGGCTACTTGTACCATGGCACACACAATGAGGTTCTGAGCAACCTGATTCTGATTAGTGTTTAGGGTTCAGGGTTTAGGGGTTTAGGGTTCAGGGTTTATAGGGTTTGGGGTTCTAGGATTTAGGGTTTAGGGTTTAGGGTTTGGGGTTTGGGGTTTAGGCTTCAGGGTTTAGGGTTCAGGGTTCAAGGTTTAAGGGTTTAAGGGTTCAGGGTGCACT